AACTTGGATGTTTCCAAAGTGTTTATACATATGATATTTAACTTTTAAAATAAAAATACACATTTATTGTAGAAATTTAAAAAAATATATTTTTATTGATTTTTCTTCAAAGGGAGAGAGAGGGATAGAGAGTTAGAAACATCGATGAGAGAGAATCATCGATCAGCTGCCTCTTGTATACTCCCTACTGGGGATGTGCCCGCAACCAAGGAACATGCATGCCCTTGACCGGAATCGAAGCTGGGACCTTTCAGTCAGAAGGTCGACGCTCTATCCACTGAGCCAAACCAGTTTCGGCTATTGTAGAAATTTTGAAAAATAAAAGAAGCCTGTATTTTTAAAAAGTCTATTTACAATCCTAACCACATAGATGGATATTGAAATTCTGATTGTTTTGTTTGTTTTAAAAGAATTTAAGTAACATACTAATCAATAGTTACCCTGACAATCTGGTAAGAGCTTGTCTGTAAAACCATTTGAATCTGGTGTCTTTAAGAGTGAGGGGGGTGGTAACATATTTATCCTGTAAATTTGTAGTTTTGTATTAGATACCCAGACATGTGCACTGTTAGCATTATGCCTTTCTCATCACCATGAACTGAATTATGCTTAGTAACAAACTTGAAATCTCAAGGTTTAACACAAGGGACTTTTCCTTCTACTCATGTTACTGTCTCTCAGGTTCCTGGTAAGCAGGTGCCCATCAGCCTCACACAGAGCCACCTTCCTCCCCTACCCCGCATTGCTGGCTGTGGGGCGGGGGAGGGAGGAGGAGCGAGGGGGGAGGAGCGTGGTGAAACTGTTCATGGTTCCTAAAGGCTGCTGCCAGAAGTAACAAATGTCTCATCCACTCATCTTTCGATGCCTAAACTCAGAAGTAGATCAGGTTTAGAGACACAGACGATTTGGAGGCCCACTTTAAGGAAGAAGATACAAAATTAAATATAAAAAGGCACGGTAGTGAATATTTAGAATGAGAAACGCATTAAATAACAAGTTTAAAAAATGTTCCTTGTCTGTTTTTGCCTCCTAAGATGGATCATTTTTGAACTTGAGTATGGTCACCTAATTCTGACAAAATATATACAAAGTTAATCTGAAATGGACTAGATGTATGTAGTAGATGTATGTCTGAGCAATTCAGATTTTAGATTGCCACTGCATTGTATCACGCATCGTCATTTTATGATCAATATTCTTACACAGCATACACTGACTTTCTGATGCATGTGTGTAGGAGGTTGTCACTGGAACATTAGTTTTTTCAGGCTGTTTCAGAGGCAGTTTTCAAAGACCAATGCGTTGGAGGCAGTTTTATGTGCCATTGACTTGGGATTGTCGGACCTTGTCAGTTCAAGATTTGTCAGGTGTGTCACGAGGTGAACTGACACATCGGGAGGCATGAACTGTAATCTCCTACACACATGTACTCGCTCTTTATAGTACTGCCACAGGTTTCTGCCTACCAACCCTGGAATGCTAATAAATTTTATTTTATGTGATTCCCAACAAAAAGGGAGACACTGTCGAGTGTATTTATATTTGCATTACTGCATTATTGAGTCTATTCCTGATAGGGCACAACTTCCATTTAGATACAGATGGAACCACAGTTGTCCACTTACAGTATCTTGCATTTTATGATCTGAAGAATTCTCCACAGATTTGCTTCTGGCTCCATATGAGAGTTAGGAACATCGGGGATGTGCCCCCAACCAAGGTACATGCCCTTGACCGGAATCGAACCTGGGACCTTGTTTCTCCTTCTTCACCGACATACTTTGTGGCATTGTAGGACCCACTTATCTTGTGAATTTTAGGGCCTGTTTCTTCATTATGATGTCAGATCAAAGCATATCTGGAAGCCATTCTTACGGTGGGAAAGCTATAGTAACCATATGCATGAAAGTGAAAGCTAAACCCCAATTTAACGTATCCCTCACTCAACTTTTAATTTGCTGAATCCCCAAAATGCTTATTCTGTTCCATCGCCACCTGGCAAAAGGAGTTAGATAGTCAAGAAGTTGGAGTGGTGAGTGCTGAGTTCAGAAGTTCTGAAGCTTCATTCAGCATTTCAAGGATAAATCCGCCTCGGGAAAATCTAGCACAAATCCAACCCCACTAGGTGCCTGCCACTACGTATTGGTGAGTGATACTGTTCATTACAAAAGCCTCCAGAAAGGTCCTGACAGTTGATACAACATGGACTAGAAAATTTTAAAATGTTTTATAGTAACTTAATCAGCCAACCCCCATCCCTCCCTTCCTACTTTTTGATGCTGCCAATCATACTTAGCCACAATTGTAGAAATCTGACAGCTTATTAATAACAATTTGTCTGCTATTTTTTGTATGCTTTTTAATTTATTATTATTTATTTTTTAGAGAGAGAGGAAGAGGGAGAGAGAGAGAGACAGAGATAGAAACATTGATGAGAAACATCGATTGGCTGCCTCCTGCGTGCCCCCTACTGGGGTGTTAGCCCACAATCCGGGTATGTGCTCTGACCAGAATCGAACCAGCAACCTCCTGGCGCATGGAATGATGCTCAACCAACTGAGCCAGGGCTTAATTTTTAAAAACATCTTCTTTAGAATATGAACTAAGGAGCAGGGAATTTTATGTTTGTTCACTGCTATATTGAATGGTCTGTTAGATTTGCATGTTCTTGAAACCATTTTTATTTTAATATTTAAGAATGTAGGTGTTACCTTCCCACACAAATATGGTTGGAGTTAGCATACCAGAAACATTTGTAACTCGTCAGTGTAGTGTGTTATTTCTTGCCCAAGATTGCTAGCTCCAATTACAGGGGTAAAACAAAGTTTAGGAGTTTCCCTTATATGAACTATTTCTTTGTGAATTGCCTACAAGTCAGGCATGTAATTCAGGTGGAGAATTAAAGTCTATGGTTCTGTAGTTAATAAGGAGCCATTAGGAGAAGCACAAAGTATGTGCTTAAACACCCATATCTTTAATGCGCTGATTATAATAGAAATGTGAAAATACCTCATATTGTTAGAAAAAGGTGTCTTTTCTGTGAAAGTATTGGCAGTGGAAAAAGCAGAGCTACCCTTTTCTGTAGGGATGCTAACAAGCACACAAGGAATTGTATTATGGATTTTTCGTGGCTCCATTAGCCCCCATTTGTTGGCTGTGTACAAATTATTTTGCTTAGTATCTTGGGAGTAGAGAGAGATGGACTGGCTGTATCCTTAAAAAGCTCAGGAGGCATAATCTTATATAATAAAAGGCTAATATGTAAATCGACTGAATGGTGGAATGACCTATCGCTATGGCGCACACTAACCACCAGCCACCAGCCGGCAGATGCTCAACACGGGAGCTGCCCCCTGGAGGTCAGTGTGCTCCCACAGGGGAAGCGCGCCACTCAGCCAGAAGCTGGGCTCACAGCTGGCGAGTGCAGTGGCAGTGGTGAGAGCCTCTCTGGCCTCCATGGCAGCACTAAGGAAGTCCAACTGCTGGCTTAGGCCTTCTCCCTAAGCCGTCAGTCAGACATCCCCCAAGGGCTCCCTGACTGCGAGAGGGCACAGACCATGCTGAGAGACCCCCCAAATGCAGAAATTTCGTGCACCGGGCCTCTAGTACTAAGCATAAGAAAGGTAGAATTCAATCACACAGGAGCCAGTTTTCCTGAGAGGGTGGAATCAGGTAATGTCTGGCAGGGAGGGACACAATCAGGGAGGGCACGGGGAGGAGGTGGCATGGAGTAGAGCATTGAAAGGCATGAGTGGGTCTACAGTAGGTGGAAATGGGCCCCAGAACAGCATGTGCTTCCCATGCTTGAATCTTCTGAGGATTTTGTCAGAAATGCAGATTCTGACTCTGTAGGTCAAGGAAGGGGAAGTAGAGGTTCTGCATTTCTAACAAGCTCCCTGGTGGTGCTGATGTTGCCGGCTCCAAGGACAGATCTGGAGCCACCGAGCGGCCTCTCTGCACGTCCTTGACCTTTGAGGTGAGGTCTAGCTGGAAACTGGTGTAGGCTGACTTACGGTAGGTAGTGAGGTGCTTGGCTAAAGAGGTGAAGTAGAGGCCAGGAGCTCATTCTGATCTGGTTTTAGGTATGAGAACTCCACGCCTTTCTTTGATCTTTGACCGCAGGGCCATTAACTCAGCCTTTGTTTGGGCTTCCTCCTTTTCCTGAATTCTTCCTTTCAGAGTTCACCCGATAATTTCCATTGATACCTGTTTGACTTTCTGTTCTCCAATCTCTTGGGACACATTGCTAGAATGTAACTTTGATCCTTTAGAAAGAAATTGATTCTATTTTGGGTATATTTAGCAATGGTTTTATCAACTGCCATTCTGTGTTTTTGTGATCCAGTCGAATGATAAACTTTTAAAAACCATAGCTCATGAATTAACTAAACGGGCCTCCTTTTTAGAGACTATAAATTAGAAACGTGTGTAGACAGTGTGCACTTACTCATGGCAGAGATAGAACTAAAAAATCACAGCCGAAGCTGGTTTGGCTCAGAGGTAGAGCGTTGGTCTGTGGACTGAAAGGTCCCAAGTTTGATTCCGGTCAAGGGCATGTACCTTGGTTGTGGGCGCATCCCCGGTAGGGGATGTGCAAGAGGCAGCTGTCCGATGTTTCTCTCTTATCGACATTTCTAGCTCTCTATCTCTCTCCCTTCCTCTCTGTTAAAAATCAATAAAATATATTAAAGAAAAAAATCACAGAGACCTTCCTTTCTGCATCTTCGCAAAGGCTTGCACCGTGACAGACTGAGTTCAGTGTACTGTGGTGGGGCTTACTGTCCACACGAGGGACTTGGTAACGGCTCTGTGCCTTTACACCCGCATGTAAGCATTGAACCAGGTCATGCTCCTGACGTGATAACCGCCGTCCCCAGAGGGAAACGCTGTGGCTGCACAGGGTGGCGGTGGTGGGTTTTATTGAAACGGGGCAGGCACAGATGTCCCCGGATGTGTTCTAAACCTACATGCACATGTTATGTTTCCAATCTTCTTCCTAGATTTTGGCCCTGATTGCGTTCATCTGCATAGAGACCATCATGGAGTGCTCCCCGTGTGAAGGCCTCTACTTTTTTGAGTTTGTGAGCTGCAGTGCGTTTGTGGTGACCGGAGTCTTGCTGATTCTGTTCAGTCTCAACCTTCACATGAGGATCCCCCAGATCAACTGGAACCTGACGGTGAGTCCAAGTCACCGCCCTCCGACCGGGAAAGGGCCGGCTGCTGCTTGGCCCCACGGCAGCGTGGGAACCTCTCCATGCTGTGTTTGGTTCCAGTTCACTGTGGTACTGACATATCCCATTGTAATTCAACTGAGAGATGTTACATCTCTTACTGAGTTGAATAATAACTTAAATGGAATCTTCACTAATGGCAGGAACATCCTAATAATTACTTTGACCTCTTTGAAGATGTCATTTCAATTTCATAATCTTCTGAGAAGATTAGTGATGTCTAATATGGGAAAGAGACAGTAGAATTAATACATTTTTGCATATTATTCATACCGAACCCAAAAGCCATTTATAAAAGAATTGGTTTGGGAAGAATTGAAAATATGAATGAAAATGGCAATAACTTGCAAAGCCTGGGATATTATTAAATTCAAAGCAACTGGGAGGACTGGAAGGAAGGTTTAGTGTTTGATCGGTCTTGAGTGGAAATAATGTCCTCTTCTCACTGTGGTTTGGGTTCTTAAGCCTTACCCTTCAATCAGCATGGGAAGCTCCTGGCTGGTCACGCCCAGGCCCCTTTTCCTGGACTTGTGGTACTTGTCTTTACTGTGCTGAACGAGAGGAAACTTAATAGCATTTGGTTTTCTTGGTATTTCTTTGCAAGTAAGCATGTGCCAGAGCTCAAAGGGAATCGGTGAGGGAAACACAGGCAAGCAGTCAGCTGCCTCAGCCTTCTGTGCCTGTGGGGGGAAGACCCTGTGAGCCCCACAGCGCTAAGAGGCCAGCAGAGGAGAGGAGGCGCTGAGACCAGCTGCCTCATGAGAGCGCCTCTCTCATTGGCTGGTGCAGCACCATGGAGGTGTGGCCCAGGTGAGGGGCTGAGAAGGAGGCCGGAGCTGGTCACCTTGCCTGGCAGGGCCACTCCCATGTGGTCCTGTGGGGTGCCCAGAGGAGAGGGTCTCCCGACAGGATGCTCTCTGTGTCGTTCAGACTCTTTTAGGAGGAAAAATAAGAGCAGAGCTGAACCAGAAAAGTTGATGTCATTGAAGACCAAGTTGGTTTTGTTTCAGCATTGAACACTGAGAAAAATGTGATTTAAATTTAAACTCTAAAACCTCAAGATAGTCGAGGCGTTTTGTCTGAGTTTTTATGACAGGTTTTAATGTCTCAGCTATTTTTAAGATAAAGTTTGTGTTATCCGTAGGAAAAGGCTTACAGAGTTGTGAGCTAAATTGATAGCATAGTAAACAGATAGCAAAGAGAACCTCATAAACCTCCCCCGAACAAAATGCAAGCTCTCTGGGTTTTGTTGTTTTGTGTTAGTTTTTATGTGTAGGCCTCTGATGTTATAAATATTAGCTTGTTCAGATTTCTTTTGAACACTGTATAAATCAAACCTATTTGTGGGCCAGATATGGCCAATAGGCCTGGCGTTAGCGCGCTCTAGGCCAGCTCCCCTTTATCTGTTTATTGAGTTACGTGGGTCACACCTGCACTCACAAGTGTGTTCCTGGAGGAGGGACTCGGAAACATGGTGTGTGAGGGTGACCTTCCTTTGCTTCTGTTAGCATGGAGGCCTGCAGGGGGTGTTCCAGGGCCAAACAGGAAACACGGAGTGGCTGTGTATGAGACTGCAGGGAGTGGGGACAGCTGTGGCAGACTGGAAAACATGCCTCTTATAGAGTACACATCCATTAAAAGTATTTTGTTTTATCATTATTATTTAATATATTTCTTTATTGATTTCAGCGAGGAAGGGAGAAAGAGAGAGAGAGACATCAGTGATGAGAGTGAGTCATTGACTGGTTGCCTCCTGTACGCCTCCTACTGGGGATGGAGCCTACAACCTGGGCATGTACCCTTGACTGGAATCGAGCCTGGGACCCTTCAGTCCTCACTCAGGCTGATGCTCTATCCATTAAGCCAAACCAGCCAGGGCCCATTAAAAGTATTTTTTTAAATTAAGTACCAATGTTGACTAATTGCTGCCGTGGTAGGTGAACACGCCGAGGGCATGCCTGGGTGTGTCCCCTAGCGTAAGTGGAACAACACACATTAAAAGCCTTGGCTTTGTTTCCTGGCCAAGGAGCTCAAGCAGCAGGTGCCGACTGACTTTTGCAGTACTCTAGTTTTAAGCTTTTTAAACTGTGCAAGTGAGAAGTGGTTGTTATAGAAACACTGGACAATATAGATATTAAAATAGAATAAATAAAATCACGGGATCACGCAAGAAAAATGAAAACATGTCTGCAGAAAAGCTTCCACATGCCAGCATGATTTGAATGAGTTGTTAAGAGACAACAATAGAACCCTAAGTGGTAATTAGTGTGCATGTCCTCGATAGGTTAGCAGTTTGGGTTTCCGTAATAAGTCATTGGGCAATGGTGACGGGGGTTTTGCTGTGGTGGTTTATCCAGCAGCAGCATCCACAGTTATGGTGTTTGCCTTCCTTTGTACAACCAACTCCCCCGGGCCACTGAGACCAAAACGATGGAGCCAGCACAGAGGCTGGGTATTGTTCTTGTTTCGAAAGTTCTTCAATGGCTTTTAGGGCAAAGCATGAGATGTTTCTTTTCAAGTGATTTTATTTATCTTTTTCTTTAGGATTTGGTCAACACTGGACTCAGCACTTTCTTTTTCTTTATTGCTTCCATTGTCCTGGCTGCTTTAAACCACAAAGCCGGAGCAGAGATTGCTGCCGTGGTAGGTGAACTCGAGTGGTTAAAACACGGGCTGATTTGTATACTTCTTGTGACATGCTGTCCTCTGTCCCCTTATGTGTGTCCTGTTCATTGTCCTTTAGCTCTTTCTCTGCTAATGAAATTGTTATTGGGCCAATGGAGGTCCAGTCCCTTCAGTGGTGTGGTTCCCGGGACAGCAGCCTCAGTATCACCCAGGAACTTGTTAGAATGCCATTCTCAGGCCCCAGAGCTACAGAATCAGAAATGTGTGTTTTAACCTGCCTCCAGCTGGCCCAGGGGCGAACTCAAGTTTGAGAACCACTGCTCTAGTTTCCAACAGGACCCTGGATGTCTGACTGGTAGTGGTGGTGCTTTTTCGAGCCTTACGGGCCTATGTGGAAGTCTTAATGAAGAACACAGTCTTGACACCACTTAGTAGTCAGATGACTTTTTGCTCCATGGTGGAATGCCATGGGGAGTGGGGCGGGGTGGGAAGCAGAAAATGTAAGATTGTCTCTGTGCTCTGTGTTTCTGTATTGTTCTGTATTTACAAAGAATATGTAGCGTTTTTGTAATGGGGGATTAAAAGGTTCATGAAAAACATTAAATGAGCTGCTCTGCCAGGTGTCACTCGGTAGATTCATCAGTGGTTATTACCTTAGCCAGACCTGCTGCTTCTCACCCTGGAGCAGCCTAGGAGACAGGCAGCTGGAGAGCAGGTGGGGGTTGAGGGCTGTGCTTTGCAATATCAGGCCTTATGGCTTGAGTTGGGCGCACACATGAGCCCCTGATTTTCTGTGTGCATGGGATTTTGTCTACATGTATTTTCTCATTTGGGACCAGTGACCATGAAGGTGCTGTGAAAGAGGCATTTAAAATTTTTAAATTGATTTTAAACAGTTTTTATTGATTTCAGGGAGAGGGAGAGAGAGAAACAATGATGAGAATCATTGATCAGCTGCCCCCTGCACACCTTCTCCTGGGAGTTGAGCCCACAACCCAGGCATATACCTTGACTGAGAATCGAACCATGACCTCCTGGTTCATAGGGCGACGCTTAACCACTGAGCTACACCGGCTGGACAAAAGGCATTTTTGTAATTAATGAAAAAGAACCAAAACACTTTGTGAGAAACCTTAGGCTGTCTTCAGGTCAGGCATGACTTTTGTGGGTCGCATGACTCTGGATTTGGCCACAGTCTGACAGCTAAACATTCAGCCAGGCCAGGTGTTGGGGGCACAGCTGTAAGCCGCTCAGGGTCCTGCCCGACACCTCGTAGACTGCTGATGTGTCTGAGGACTACCCGTGCCTGTTTCTCCTAGATATTTGGCTTCTTGGCAACGGCGGTGTATGCGGCGAACACATTCCTGGCCGTACAGAAATGGAGAGTCAGCATCCACCAGCAGAGTGCCAACGACTACATCCGAGCCCGCACCGAGTCCCGGGACGTGGACGGGCGCCCGGAGATCCAGCGCCTGGACACCTGAGGGCCCCCAGAGCCTCCCTCATCCTGTGCCCGTCCTTCCAATCAAGTTTTCTTTCCCTCGTCACGACAGACTCTCACGTGTTTAAGCTGAATTTTGTCCTCTTTGGTAAAGTTCATTTTGGGAAAGGCCCTGTTAGGTATGTGAGGCGGAGGCCCCCGCTCCCTGCTGTGGAGACAGAAGTGGGTGGGCGAGACCTCCGGGTTCTCCAGCGTTTGGTGGCCATGGGAGCAGCCCGTCTCCCTGGCTGCCATGTCCACTTGAGGTCTTCACCGGCCCTGAGCACAGGCTTCCTTCCCGTCTGACTCTGAGCCACCCCGTCGTATGCATTTGTGACAAGTCAAGACTTTGGGTTAAACGGGGGCTGCCACCAGGGGGGAAATCAAGGAATGAAGGTACAAGGTTGGCACAGTCTGTCAGCAGTGATTCCTGGGCAGCCCCCATGGTGAGCTCCCTCAGCGTTGGTCTTGCTGCCAGGATCCTCCCTTCTGCTTGTCTTCCGAGCCCCGGACATCCAGACAGCCAGCACAGGCCCGGGCAGCCACGCGTGGCACTGAGGGTTGCAGTGATGGGTGTGCTGGTGAGCACTGGGCTGGGTCTGGACTTCTGGGGGATGGGCAAAGCTGGTGTCCCCTTGGGACAGCTCCACAGAACTGTTGACATGCAGGAGGGTTACCTTTCACCTCCCACCTGCTGAGAAAACACTAGATTCTTCCTCAAATGAATCACCTCCTTGAGCCCAGATTCTCCTCCGGGAATATGGGGACCATCTTGTTTTTCTCCCTCCTAAATACCCTCAATGCTTTGAGGCTGCATTGCAGATTTCAATGCTTTGAGGCTGCATTGCAGATTTCCTGTCATTTTACCCCCTCAGGTAAAATCCAGGAAAGAAACGCAGTCCAGCCAGGACACTTGCCCGTGTGGACACTCCTTTAGCGATATGTGCTAGTTTTCCATGACCTGAGAGGAGTTCTAAAGTGATTCTGTGTAGACTTGACTAGGACTCGAAAATACTTGAATTTGCACCATGACATCCTTTCATTGATATTTGAGGAGGCACGAATCGGAGCTTTCCAGGGTCCTAACCATGAACGTCCATCTTAGAAGCTGTTGGGAAGAAATCTAGGTATGTCCAGTTTTTAACTGATTCTTGATAAAATGAAGATGATTGCGGTGAAGGAGTTAAATGAGCCCCTATGATGCTGTAGTGTTGTCTTTTTCTTCCTGTTGGAGATTAATTGTATCTTTTATGGAAAACTTGTTTTAATTTGTCAGGTTTTCACTCTGAGCTGTTTTCGATGTTTACAAACCTCCCTCTAGCTCTAACGCTTTGTGATTAGCCCTCACCGAGGAAAAAACAGTGTCTGCTGGTGGGGAAGAGGGGAGATCTTGCAGTAACACGGAGAGCCTCCAGGAGCTTGTGCTGGTGAACGATCCCAGCGTTGGCAGCGTTCTGTGTGATAAGAGAGGATAGGGCATGTCTGTGGGGGTGGCGGGAGGAGAGCATGTGTGGGAAAGCGCCCGTCTGTGCGTGTGTGGCATCGCATTCTTCATACAGAGCAGCGTGGGGGGTTGATCAGGTGGCTGGGGATCCCTAGGAAATGGTACTCTGCTATCTCTGAGCAGGCGGGTCAGCTCCCTGAGCTGAACGTCCAGTACAGCCGGAGTTCTGCTGCCATTCTTTCCCTGGGCTCCGGCCCGGGTCACATGTGCAAACCCCTTGTCTGCGTCAGGGGCCATGGCTGCGGGTGGATGCAGACCCAGCTGGTCTGGGGTAACTCACCTCCCTCTGCTCCCCCAGAGGGCAGCCAGGCCTGGTCACAGCAGGGCGGCTGCCCGGAGGGCCTGTGGAGTCCTCTCTTCGTGTCCGCCCTGGGGCAGTACAAGTCACGCTTCACAAACTTTGAACCTGTTCTATATAGCGATTTTTTTTTTTTTAGGAAATTCTAACATCTGGATTTTATCTGTTCATTTTATGTATTTATTTTGCATTTGTTGAGTGTGTATGCCTCGTCAAAACTGGGCTTATCTCAATCTGCGAGTTCCATTTAAAAACAGGGTCACAGAGACTCGGCCTTGCATTCAATGGGGCCCGCTTGGAAGGACCACCCTGTGCTTTATCAGACATCTCCTGCCGGGAATCATGTTACTTGGCCTCAGTGAAAGCCGCCTTTGAAGTGAGATTGAAGAAAAGGATACCATTCAGGCAGGATCACTGCCCAAGTTTTCCCAAGCGACTTCCATCGGACCAGCTGGTCATCTCGGTAAAGGAGCCCCCTGGCCCCCCGGGGCTGTGCTGCCAGCTGCCAGAAGCCGTGCCGAAGCCCATGGACACCGGAAAGGCTGGTCACGAGGAAGAGTGATGACACCGAGTGCCACAGAGCGACTTAGGAGTTAACATGCATCTTAGGGTTAGAATCCTTGGAATAATTTATGTCCCTGTAACTATTTAATATCCTTTGTGCCACGGGGCTCTCCCATGGAGTTTGTAAATATATTTCTCTCTATTTAATTAGCTCCCTCGCCGGTGTGACGCACCGCCATCCATCTCGTCCCCTGTGGCAGGGGGTGGTGAGAAGTGGTGAAGGGGATTTGCCTGTCCAGGTGACTGTGAAGACACCTATGTTCTTCTGACGTTGCCTCTGTGCACACAAGACCATCTAGGTTTCTGGGGGCCTATAGCACTTATTATTATTTTTTCTTGGCCAATTAAAGGAAGCGTGTTTTTGCATTTGATAGTTCCAATATGGGTCAATGGCAGTTTGTTTTGGGGTATTTTCAGACTGAGGCAATCTTAGTGTTTCTCAATTTTCTGGTGGGATGACAGTGGCTTTCACGGTCCGTGCCAAACCTGAGGAGAGCTACAGTTGCTTTGCGCGTTTGAATTTGTTCCCAGCGGCTGTATGGTTGAAACCCTCAAGCATTCCGTGGTTTTAGATGGATGCAAACACTGACGTCTTCAGAGAAAGTTTATCTTGGCACGGATTTGGTGGATGTGGTATTTCTTCTCTCTGATTCTCCTTTATCTTCCCTTTTCACTGAATGAAGGCATGAAAGGAAATACCTTCTCCCTTTCACACAAAGAGATTGCAATCATGAAAGCCCAAAGGCACTTGGCCCCATATAAAGCTGGGGGAGGACCAAGGCGTTTAGAGGTTAAAGTCTCATAAGAACCTGACCGACCGGCATGGCTCAGTGGTTGAGCATCGACCTATGAACCAGGAGGTCTCGGGTTCGATTCCCAGTCAGGGAACATGTCTGGGTTGCAAGCTCAGTGCCCAGTGTGGGGGCTGTGCAGGAGGCAGCCAATCAATGATTCTCTCTCATCATTGATGTTTCTATCTTTTTCTCCCTCTTCCTTCCTCTCTGAAATCAATAAAAATATATTTGAGAGATTACCTGTGCCTAGAAAAAGGCAAGAATGTAATAGCCTGCCCAGTCCCAATCCTTATCCATGTCTTCCTTGGCAGCCTGAACTGAAGGGCCTGCATCAGGGAAGCCAGCGAGGGCCCGGGTTGGCTCTGAGGGCTTGGCTTGGGGAGGTGGACCACACTATGGCCCTTTGGGTACCATTACTGTCCCCTGGTAGGAACGCTTAAGCCCCTGGGTGGGTATGGCGTGTATCTCACCTCCACCCTGTGCTGGAGGCTTCTGGTGAGAGCTTTGTGACTCAGTTGAAAACATTCCTACTCTTTTCTTTTTTTCATTTCTTACCTGAGGATATGTTTTGCATTGATTTTAGAGAGGTGAGAGAGAAACATCGATGTGAGAGAAACATCTATATATACCATGACCGGGGATAGAACCCGCAACCTGGTACGTGCCCTGACCTGGAATCGAACCCACCAACCTTTAGTGTACGGCACATCACTCCAGCCAATTGAGCCTCACCAGCCAGGGCCATTCCTGCTTGTTTAAAGTAGGCAGCTTCATCTACCTTCTTGAAGGTTTCTTTCATTCAGACTTGGGTGAAGCCCTAGCTGGTCTGTGAGGAGAGGGGGCAGTCTTGTCTGCATAGGCCTGTGCATTCTTGCTTGAATGCCATCCTCCCCGGCCCCCACCTGTCTGTCCTACGTATGGCCCAGCCCCACCTTTTCTTACGGACACTCACGCTGTTTGGGAAGCAGCCCCTCTCCGCGTGTTGAAGAGGCGGACCAGGTTCTAATATCCGGCTGTGCAAGGTCTTCTGTGGGTTTTAGAACCCATCCTGACAGAGGAGTAGGGTGTGGAGACAACACGTGGCTAATTCAGTGGTTCTGGGAGGCAGCGGTGTTTATGGGGTTCCACTGGAGCCATCCCTTGTTCAAAGCAAAGCAACAGGAAGTGGCTGTGCGACAGCCCGGTTCCCATTTTCTCCACATCTCATTTATAGGACAATGACCACACTGAACAGGTAGTAAAAGGCACAGACACTTTCTAGGTTGAGGGCTGCTGCAGATTGCTTCTCTCGAGCAAAATAAAAAGTTGCTTCCTGCTCCAGGGATTGCCATTAGCTTGTGAGGTCTCCAGCCCACTTTCTTATTTCTCAGTGAAGTTTGCAGAACCCAGGGCTCTCTCTTCTCCACGTCTTGCTTATTTTATCAGCACCCACTTTTAGGAGCAGAAGGGTGATGAGGTGAGGTGGGAGCTGGGGCAGGTCTGAGAGGTGAGAAGAGGGGGCCCCTCGGCCCAAGCTCTGTCTGCTGCGGGGCTGTTGATAACACTAGTCTTGAGAAGAAGTGCTTGGGTAACTACCTCTCTATCCCCTCTCTCTGGGGGGCTTGTGTTCTGGAATCAGCTTGAGAGCCGGGGCTGAATGTAGCCCAGTGTGCCGTGTCGCCCGGAGGGCTCTGGGTGTTTGGGAGCACAGGGCTGGCCAGGTGACTTGGGTTCTGGTTTCGGTGCCACCTTAGAGCGGATTCGGACCGAACACTGCCTTGTAAGTTTCCCAGCTCTTTACAGAATCACGTGTCTCTTATCACATAGTGTTGAAATCATAAGAACTGTCTGGTTGAGAAGGTAATCTGAAATATTTGAACCTTTACATTTCTTTCATTTTGAAACTGTCTCTGAAAGAAAATACCCTCAAAATCTGTGAGATCTAGAACTGTCTTCTGAAAGTGAAAGTTCTGCTTGACTTGTCTTCCCACCAGTGATCGGCGCTTATCCCCTCTTAGGCCTGGAACAGAGCAGTGGGCCCCGTAGATTTCCCCCCTTTTGGTCTAGTCTATATTCTTCCTCCATTTGGATATAATTTCTCAATCTGGGTGATTTTTTTCCCCCCTCTAGTTTATCTTATTCCATAGGTATAAGGGTAAAGAAAAGTTACCCACAAGCCCACTGAGTTGGAATGAATCAATGGCAGTTTTGCCTAGAATAAAGTTTATATTATGGATCCTTGATTAGTCTATCTTTTTCATAGGGTTAGTTTGTTGTCTACTTTTTGTTGTTATTAATCCTTCGCTGAGGATATTTTCCCCCCCATTGATTTTTAGAGAGATGTGGGAGGGAGGAGGGAGAGACAGAGAGAGAAACATCAATGTGAGAGAGACACATCGATTGGTTGCCCCCCAGCACGTTCCCGACCAGGGCCAGCGATTGAGCTTGCAGCCGAGGTATGTGCCCTTGACAGGAATCAAACTCGAGACCCTTCACTCTGCAGGCCGATGCTCTATCCACTGAGCCAAATTGTACACATTTTTTATGCCAAGAGTTTAATTCGGGCGCCCTGGAGTGCTTTGGGCTGCATTACACCAAGGCTGGGAGCCTTCATCAAGGGGTTAATGGCCTGGGCTCTAGTGAGCTATCAGACTTGTGTGGTTCTCATTTAGAGGAGGAAATTGTCTCGGATGACCTTTGTTGGTGGATTAGTGTGCCTCAGAGGAGAGAAGGTGTGACCTAGTTGATTCCATAATAATCTGAAGCCCAGTAGGAAGCATCTCCCTTTATGAGAAAAGCCACCTGATGGGAAGGCCTGTGAGGGGACCTGGTGCCCAGGCCAGGCAAGGCCGGGCCTCACTGGGGCTGCTTCCCTCTTTCCTGCCTTTTCCAGAATTGATTTGCAAGTTTTAAGATTCTGTCCCCATCTCTGCGGAAGTGAGGCAGGCAAATATTTGAAGTTTGGAGGGAGAACTGGCCGGTCCAAGGGCTGGGGGAAGGCTGACTTTGAGGACAGGATCAAGCTGGCCCAGCCCCACCGAGGGGCCACCTGCTTCCAACTCTTTCACCCCGTAAACCCACTCAGAACTGCGTCTTCAAACCCTGCCTCAGGATGGAATGGCATGTGCGGATAAAGCTTTCTGTAACTTGATTTTTGATGCGGTTTCCTCTAAGAGAACGCTAGAGATCGAAACTATCTGTATATGTTGCAATTTGTAAGGGTTCAGGAACCCATGGCAAAAACACGTAACTAATTTATTACAGGTATGACTGTCTATTCCCCCCCCCCCCCCCCCAAAGTAGGCAATTCTGTCTTTGTATATTTTACGACAAATAATAATCACTTCACCTTTGGTGCCTTCCGTGTGTCGGTCACGTAAAAAAACTCTTGTTAATCATGGAATTGAAAGAAAGATGTACATTTAGTTAAACCAGATAACACTATTTTTGTAGCATGATTTTAGATTGTGTCCTTTTACTGTTGCTTTCAGCAGTGCTGGTTTTGCGGTTGGCCATTTTCCCTGTAAACCTCCTACGTCTTTAAAGAAAAAAAGACAAAATCACCCCTGGCTGTTCCTAGCTCCCCTCTGCTCTCTCCCCGCCTTGTTTCTGCTTGAACAGTCTGAGAGTGAGAGTATATTTCTGTGAAATGATTCTTAGTCTATCTGCATTGGGCATTTTTTAACCCCTTGTTCGGTCGAGGGAGCCACTGCTCACCCCAGGCAGGGAGAGGAGCGCGGCTCCACAGGACAGAACAGCACTCTCGGTGCTTGGTGCTCTGACTTCCCTTCTCTGGGCTCAGCCCGTGAACAGGCCCGTTGTCGGGCCGGTGAACCAGGGGTGTCCGCAGGTCTGGCTTTGCTGCCTGAGCCTGCCGGAACCCCTGCTGGCCCCGGGCTCACCTTCCCCTGGATCTGACTGGTGGTAGGCCCAGGTAGGCTCCCAGGCCCTGTCCGGTTTGGGGCCTGAACAAAACAGACCCCCTGCTGTGAGAATCACGATGAAATCACTACAGGATCACACTCTGGCTGCCCCCTCTGGCTTCCCCGTCCCTGCAGGACGCGAAAAACCTTGAGGAAACTAGCTGAGCCATTGCAACACGAAGGAATGGGTTTATTGTAACAAAAACTAGCTTTTTTTGTGCTTTCTGAAGGGCCAGAATATGTAATCATTTTCTAACAGAGCAAGTCAAGTCAGATGGTTAGTAACTCAAGATGAGCACTCATTGGTACTTGGCCCAGAGGTACCTGGGGGAGCAATGTTAATTTAATAACCATTACACTTTACTTCATAAAAGTCTAGTTCCTTTAACATTTTAGACACAGCTGGGGGGTATTCCGAGGCGATGCCCACGTGGTAAACTTTGGTTATGCTGGTGGCTGGCCAGGGCTCCCACCCTGGTGCCCTGGGGTGGGCACCCCCCGCTCTGACTGGCCGGGGTGGGACTCTGCCCACTTGGACTGGTGTTGGGCCCCAAAGCCTTGGCCCCTGTTAGTTTGTCCCCAACAGCAGACACAGCCTCACCTTGCCCTCAATCCCCCCTTTTCTTTCGAAGGACCAATTTTTCACGGTACTTGTCCTGATTGTTTTCATAGTGTTCAAATCTGTATTTTTGTATGTAGAGGGAAATAATTTTCTCAACACTAATCGCTAATATTGTATTAAATTGTCATGAAGGAGTTCTTGTTTAATAAATGGACATGTGAAAATGGCCTGGTCTCTTTCCCTGCCCCGACTGACCGCAGGCCATGGACCCTGTTCCTGCACATCGGGGCTGTTCGGTGGAGGTTAAACACAGCCAGCGTCTCCCGGGCGAGGCCTCCGGGGACAGGTGTTGACAGGCCTCTGCACATTCACCGTTCCCACACGTTCTCAGGACGTGCGTATGTGGAAGTTGGGGCAGAAAGCCTGCTTCCTCCCATCCACCTGGGCCAAAGTGCCCACGAGGCTGCTCCCAGGTCTGGCTGCCGGAGGGGTGCAGCGGGATTGCCCCTCAGAGGGGCTGGGTGACCTGGGCAAGTCATCGGACCTTCCGTCAGTTTCCTGGCCTATAAACAGGACTGTGTGAGGAGTAAGAGCGCAGACATGAGACGCTTAGTGGGTGCCTGGCATGGAGCAAGTGTGTGTGTGTGTGTGTGTGTGTGCGCGTGTGCGTGTGCATGTGCTGACACTGATACCGGATGGCATTGCCCTGGGTGGCGTGAGGTTTATTCACACACTCCAAGCAGATAGTCCGTCTGGTTTAATTCATGGCTTTTTCCAGGGGAGGAGATTCACATGCAAGAGAAGGACAAAAGTTACAAATGCTCCCAAATGGGTCCAGAACTCTGGCTCATTTCGCAGGGCCTCTTGGTCACAGGAAATGCTAATTAAGAAGCTGCTTTCGTATAAAAAAAATCATATAAAGTCACAAAACCTCCCTGAAAATATATACACAGCGCAGGTCCTTGGGAGGACACAGAAGGCACGTTTCACCTCTTGGGAGGCGGTCGGGAGGCCTGCTCTGGCCTCTAGAAGCACACAGTCCCGAGCGCCCAGGAGCCCGTCGCCTGCTGGCGGACCCAGGATGCTGACCCTCCACGTGGCGCCCTGATCTTCGCACCTGGTAAGCTGCTTTACGAGCTTTTCTTTGAAATGGTCTTAGACCCAGAAAGGCCCTGTCCCCTGAAGAAGACACGGTGTCCAGGGGGTGAGGAGGCAGTTAAGGGCAGGGCCAAGGCCAGCTTCCGCCCTGCCTAAGGGACGAAGAAGGTGGTGCTCCTTGAACCAAAGAATCTTGGAAGGATCATTCTCGACAGAGTGCCTGGCATGGCCAAGGTCACTGGGGCTGGGGGGCTGGCGGTTGGCCCCTGGTGGCTTCTGTCTTACTTCGGTTGTCCTGTTACCTCTAGGCACGCCCCCCTACCCCCTGCCAGCATGAATATCCCTGTGACAGGGTCACATGGCTCCCTTTGTGCTTGTTTTTGGCAGAGAGGTCAGAGGGCTTAGGTGTGTGGGACAGAAACAAGGAGTGGCGGAGTATTCCCGATGCCCTCCCGTGCAGAGCGGTCCTTGGCACCGTCCTGCGTGCCGGGCTCAGAACGTCACCTCGGGCCGTGAGGAGGCCTGCTCCTCTGGGGAAGTGACAGCTGCCTCCCAGCACTCCCGGCCCGCGGGCCTCGCTCCGGCCAGCCGGTCAGGAGAGCAGGAGGGAAGGCCCGCGCGGCTCGGGCTGCCGGGGCAGGGCAGCCCTTCAGTCGGAGTCAGAGTCGGAATCCTCTTCTGAAAAGAAAGCAAAGAGGAGGCTTGGCAGGAGTCTCCTGGCTGGTGGTGCCCAGGAGAGGCACAGCCAATGCAGGTGGGAGCCCAAATGCCCTCTCCTCTGGGGCCCTCAGTGTCCCTGAGCTGTCCTCACCTGGGGTGTTAGGACAGGACATCTGTACCCCAACCCCACCCCACAATTTAGCAGGACAACCCTGGGCAAACCATTTTCTCGTCTAAGAAACTCAAATAGACTCGAAGATCAGGAAACCTCCTTTGGGCCATTTTACAGTTTCGGTCTCCCCTTCCCGCCAGTCCCAATCCTCATTTTATATTGTGATATGGCTGGGTATGGCTGGCTCTAACCGGTTTGGCTCAGTGGATAGAGTGTCAGCCTGTGGATTGAAGAGTCCCAGGTTTAATTCTGGTCAAGGTCATGTATCTTGGTTGCATATCAATCAGCTGCCTCCTGCACACCCAGTAGGGAGTGTGCAGGAGGCAGTTGATATCTCTAACTCTATCCTTCTCCCTCCCTCTCTGTAAAAAAAAAAAAAAAAAAAAAAAAAAAAAATCAATAAAATATATATATTAAAAAAAGAAATAGGGTATGGCTGTGTGGTCACAGATGGAAAAACAGCCATCCAACTTGCATTTAGGCAGTGGCACAGCCATTCTGAGCTGAAGGTTGGCTGGAGGGGCCAGAAGGCCTGTTGTATTCTCCTTGAATAAAAAGCAGAACAAGCTGAACTTGCCTGCGTGTTGCGGGTAAGGCCGAGAGCGAGCTTGGTTACCTGGCACGTAAGCCATGGGCCAGGCCAGACTGCAGGGGGCGCTGGTCCCTTTGCAGCCCAGTGCCCAGTGCCCAGTGCCCAGGAATTGAAGCCACTGACTGGCTGCCCTCGGGGCTCATCAGGGACCACTGAACGGAGATGGAGGTGCCAGGCGTGTCTCTGCTTGCCTTTCCTGGAAAGGCTCAGGCCCTGGGGAGCCACGTGCTCGCCCCAGGGGACCCGCTTTCTGATCGGTGCCGCAGCGTGAAGGGATCCGAGAACCAGGCTGTGCAAGCACTTCCTGCCCGTGGGGGGAGAGGCACACCGCTACTCCAGCCTCAAACCAACCACGTGTCCCCAGGGGAGAGCAGGGCCCCAGCCCGCAGGGTGGCCACCCACCTTCCTCCTTGTTGGCTGTGGGCTCCTCTGCAGAGCCCCCTTGCTTGAGGAATTTGGCCACGTCATTGAAGATCAGGTAGAAGTCAATGGCAAACACGATGGTAGCAAAGAAGCCAAACACCTGTGGGATAGAGAGGACAGACGGTGGGTGAGACGGGAGTCCCTGCTCTGAGAGACTGAGAGGCACCTGCCCCGGCCTCCCACTCCTGTGTTTATCTGATTGGATAAGCAGCTCAGATTGGCAGGCACAGGCCCCTCCCATGAATGACAGATGGGAAAAGGAGCTGTTAACTTGGCTGACAAACACCCTTTCAAAACTGGGGCCCGAAGCAGGGAGAGAACAGGCCCCAGACGCTAAGCGTGTGTGCTGAGAAGCATCTGGGTCTTGAGGAGGGGTAGGGTGAGCTTGAAGGGGGCATCACTGGCCACCCCCTCCCAGGGGTAGGGCAGTTACTCACCCCGGCTGCCTTGGAAGCTCCATCCGAGTATTTGGCGACAGCTGTGATGGAGATGGCAAAGTAGATGAGGGCCGCTGTGACACAGCGCAGGAAGTCCTGGGGGGAGAGAGGGACTCGGTCACCCCGCCCTGAGCTCCGTGGAGTGGGGCACAGCAGGGGAGGGGCCCCCTGGGAGCTCAGGCAGGGGAGGGGGTTCAGGAGACACCAGGTAGCAGAAACAGCCCACTGTTGCGGAGCGGGGCAGGCCTGGCAGCCTGAACACACGCCTGGCTCCCGAGTCCAGCATCTGGGGCTCCTACCCTGTCCTCCCACCGCCGCTCCTGCCCCTGCTCAGGTGCCGCTCGCAGGCTGCCAGCAGCTGAGACTGCCCTGCCCTGGGCTTCACGTTGTCACATACTTGTTGCAGGTCTATTTATGAATTATGGTTTTTGTTTACTTGGTCCCTAAAGTGGGGACACAGAGGGTGCAGCCCAACAAGAATGCTGGGGATGAAGTCAAGAAAGGTTGGTGTGTGTGTGTGTGTGTGTGTGTGTGTGAAAGCTAAGGCAGGGGCAGGCTGGGAGGGGACAAAGGGGACATATGTAATACTCTCAACAATAAGATTAAAAAACATATTTTTTAAGTGACAAGAAAAGACCAGGGTACACCCTGATGGTGGGGCTCCATTGATTGAAGCATCCGTCCCATATTCCAAAATGTTGTGGGTTTGATCCCTAATCAGGGCACATGCAAGAGGCAGCCCATCGATGGTACTCTCTCCCTTCCTCTCTCTCAAATCAATAACGATAATAATAAAAAAAATTTAAACTCACTTTATTAAAATAAGACAGACAGACCAGTCCCTTCTCTCCGACTCACTGACCCACTGCAGACAGCGGAAGTCTGAGGCAGGGCTCTGGGCCCTCCGGGGTGATAAACAGAATTGCCAGAGGGCTGAGTGAGGGTCTGGGTAAGCCCTGCAAGTCCCCAGTTGAGGTGCCCTCCCCCTGTTGAAATGGCTTGAATTCCTGTAGCTGAGACGAGGGAGCACCAGCGCCACCTCGTGGCCAGGGGCAAGGATGCAATCTGGGATTCCCTTACAGCAAGCAAGTCAAAACTCCTAGCACACAAGGAATATTGTAGCCCAGCCAATATATTGGTATGTGAGAAACGTTTTAATAAAAATTTCATAACTTGCCGAAACCGGTTTGGCTCAGTGGTAGAGTGTCGGTCTGCGGACTGAAGGGTCCCGGGTTCGATTCCGGTCAAGGGCATGTACTTTGGTTGCGGGCACATCCCCGGTGGGGTGTGTCCAAGAGGCAGCTGGTCAATGTTTCTCTCTCATCGACATTTCTAGCTCTCTGTCTCTCTCACTTCCTCCTCTCTGTAAAATTTCAATAAAATATGTTTTAAAAAATTTTCATAACTTAATTTTTTACAATATCCTGTTATACATAATTATTAACGAACTACAACATTCACTGTAATCGTGTTGCATTCATTTCCCTTACGTGCCTTACACATGCAACATTTCTGTCCACTAATACTAGCAGCGAATATTTTAGCAGCCGATTGCCACATCATTGGTCTTATACTGACTTGTTTGGTGTGCGCAATAGGAAGTATTTCGATTTCGAAGAACACGAAAAATAGGTTTATTTGCGTTACGCTTATTAACTTGTGCAATTATTCAGTGTCTGGTAAGTTAGTGTTCAAGAAAAATATTAATTTTTATCAAAATGGTCTATTTTATTTTAACGATCACTCATTTATTTCAGCCCTTTGTATTCAGCATGTCTCTATCGAAATAAACCTACATTACTATGAAAATTGAAGCTTTTGTTTTTTTGCGGCCCACATACACTTAAACCTTGTTTATTTGGCCTGTGTTAGCCTTTGCGTTTGAAGTGCTTGCCTTCCAGAGACACCTGGAGGCCCTGGCTGAGGTGCCACAGCTGCTGAGTGGTGGGCCCCAGATCACCTGCAGCCAGGTCTACCCGCCTGGCTCCAACCCATGGCCAACAGCCGTCCCAATGCATTGAAGAAAGGACAGCCAACCGCTTCCTCGTGGGGCCCAGCCCTCACCATCATGGGCCAGCACAAGCCCTGCCACTTGTCATTCAGCTGCATGGCATCCGCAAAGAGGAAGAAGAGGGCCAGCAGGAACTCCAGGAGGGGCGCGGTGAGGAAGGCGGATGCTGAGGACGCCACATAGCAGACAAAGGTGATGAAGGAGAGGCCCTGGGAGGGGGGGGGAGCGAGAAGTCAGAGCCTTTGCACAGCCCCTCACCCAGTGAGTGCCCCTTGGAGCCCCTGCCGTCAGGAATAGGGAGGCTCAGGAATGGAAGTTGATCTGCCCTCAGTTCTGCAGCTGCCGGGCTTAGGACCTGGTCACGGGGCCCAGGCTCACACCTGTGTTGCCCCCAGTGTTTCTCGGCTTGGCCCTTAGTCCTGACCCCATGCCAGCTCCTTGCCAGGACCCAGTCAGGAAGTGCCAGCCTCCTCCGTGTGTCTAGCCCAGTCCCCCAGGAGGCCACTCTCTTGGGCTGCTCACTCCGCCCCCACCCCACCAGGCTCTTATGGCAGAATCCACCCAACTCAGACGCTGTCCCACAGGGGCTCCTCAGACCTAAGCAGTCTCAGGCAGCCCACTGAGCAGGAACCAGTTTCAGAAATTCACTCCCAACGCACAAGGTCTGTACTTTCCACTGATTGCAATCTACCCGAAAAACAATAAGATCTTAGACTTAGTTAAAGAAACGGGGGCTGAAGTGTTTAAGAGTTAAAATGTACTGATGTCTGCAGTTTACTCTAAATCCATTGAAAAACAAAATGGAGCCGGGCTGGTGTGGCTCAGTGGTTGAGCATCAACCTAAAAACCAGGAGGTCACGGTTCAATTCTTGATCAGGGCACATGCCCAGGTTGTGGGCTCGATTCTCTCTCTTCATTGATGTTTCTATCTCTATTTCCCTTCCTCTTTGAAATCAATACAAATTTTTTTTTTTAAAAAAATGGATAGATGGAGAGATAGGTGATAAAGTAAATATACTAAAGTGCTAACAACTGTACAATCTAGGTGGTGGGTATATTGGTGTTAACAGTATAACTCTTGTGGCTTTTTAATATATTTGCAAATTTTACTGCTGATGAGAAATAAACATCCAGGAGAGGAGTGTTGGCACTGATGCCCTAGGCCCCGCTGGTCTCTGGGCGAGGGGCACTGAGGAACCAGAATGAAAATGTTCCCTGCAGCCCTGTGCACGCACTGTGTGTGGGAACTGAGGCTGCCAGACACTGAGCCCCACGTGGTTCTGGTTCTGCAGACTGTGTGCTGGGGCAGTGCCTGGGCCAGTGCCCGCTGGGGCTTGTGGGATCTCTCCTGGGATCCTCACAACCACCCATGTGCCAGGTGCTGCTGACAGCCCACTTTACAGACGAGAAGACTGAGGTTCTGAGAGGCGAAGTGATTGCTCAGTGTCACGCAGCTCATAAGAGGATACCAGGACTTTGAATCCAGGGCTGGCTTGATTGGCAGTGGCCTTATTAAGCAACCCTGCCCTGGGGGCGTTGGCTTTTGTCTGCTTTCTGCAGCTGTGTCTGGGTCTGTCTGGGTCTGAACACGTCTAAGGCTGAGTGGCTCTGAGTGGGGCCCAGGGGGCCTCCCAGGGACACCCAGAGGCCTCACAGGAAGCGCGGAGGCTGCTTCAGACAAATGAGCTACAGAGATCACAGGAAGTCCCCAGGGCACCACATCTGTACTCAAATGGCCCTGGGGACAGCCCAGGCCAACTTGAACAGATGGTTAGCCAGCCGAGTCTGCTAGCACCTCCCAGGAAGGCAAGGTGTGGGACCCTGACTCAGCCTGGCCACAGCTCCTGCTGTACTTGTGGGCTGTTCTTGTGTCCCTGTCCTTCCTGTCATTTCCCTCCCCCTCCCCCAGCCTGATTCTGGAGATCCCCCTCTGGATTCCTGTTTCCTCATTCTCTGATTCCTAGTTACCACTCTGCCCCCCTGTCCCTGCCAGCTCCCCATTGCGTGGGCCTGGGGGCAGACCAGAGGCGACTCCAGGAGTCATGGCGCAGCTCCCCTGCAACTTCAGTGCCCTCCCTCGCTCCCTCCCCACGCCTGGCACTCCCAGATCCCTGACCCCAGCTCTGCCCTGGGCCCCCTCTATGCTCTGGTCAGCTACCCCTCCTCAGACTTAGGAGGGGGGCCTGAGTGGGGTGGGTTTGGGGTCCCCTCGGTGGATGGTAGTGGACTCAAGGCTTCTCCCCGAAAGTAGCTTCCTTCCATCTCTTGGGTGGGGCTGGCGTGGCCCATCAGGAGGCAACCCCTGGAAGTGAGGGCTGTGGGTCACTTGGGAGTTGGGCAGGTCCTGGGCTGACCTCCGGGCTGGCCCAGGCCCAGCAGAGGGGACAGGGCCACAGGCTGCCTCCTGACGTGGAGGCAGGACCCTCCTCCTGACCCCCACCCCCCTCTGTCCCTTCTGTCCCCCAGCCCTCACCTGTTAGATCCCCTAAGCTCCCGCCTCAGCTTCCTTGTCATCAAAGTGGGAGGAAAGGCAGAGGCTGCGGAGTTGCTGGGGATCTAAGGACTAAGTGCCCCTCCCTCATCCCGCGTCCCCTCTTCCCGGTCTCTTCCTCCCTCCCCTCCCCTCCCCTCCCTGAGGTCCGGGACCAGCACAGCCCCGGCCCCAGCCCACTGGCGGGCAGTGTCCTGAGGACAAAGGCCTGGCAGGCCGGGTGGGGGGAGAGGGAAGGAAGAAGCAGCTCCGCGGGGCGGGGCGGCTGGATCCCGACTAGGAAGGGGAGGAGGGGGATGAAGTCACCCCGCTGGGCCCCGGCCCCCGCCCCTAGCGCAGCTGGGCCTCACCCATTCCCAGGGGTCCCCATCCCCGCTGGCTGGGCTCCCCCACAGCCTCCGCCCTGCGGCTCGAGGCCCGGCCAGCCCTCCCTGCGCCCGGGAAAGCGGACAGGGGGGTCCCGGCGCCGGGTGCGAGGGGGGCCGCGCGGGCTGCATCCTCCTCCCCAAAGGGGCCCAGAGGGGGCGGGAGCGCCCGGGGTCACCTCTCCTCTCCCCGGGCCCCCCACGCCCCCCTCCAGTCCCCGGGGCTCTAGGCCGCTTCTGCCCCCCCCCCCCCGTCCCCTGCTTTGCACTCGCGCGTGCAGCCCCCGGGGGAGCGCGGGTTCGGGCCCCGCGCGCTGAGCTCCGGCGGGTCCGTCCGGGACGGGGCTCCGGGAGCGGTCGGTCGGTCGGTCGGGCGCGCCGGGCAGCGGCCGCCGGGGTGGGGGGCCCCCGCCGCACTCACCGACTCGGCCAGCAGGAGGCGGCCTTTGGGGGAGCAGAGGAAGGCGCGCGCGGGCAGCAGGGCGCGCAGCCCCGGGACCCCCCCGCCCGGCGCCGAGCGGCCCGCGGGCTCGGGCTCCGGCTCGGGCTCCGGGTCCGGGGGCCACATGGCGACGGCGGCGGCGGCGGCTGCAGGGACGAGGCTCGGTCTGGCGCCCTCGGACCTCCCGCCCGGAGGGAAGCGGAAACCCGGCGGGCGGTGCGGAAGGAGAGGGAGGCCCGGCGAGCCCGGCGCAGGGGCGCATCCCCCGCCGCCCGCCCCGCCCCTGCCCGGCCCCCTCCCCGGCGCGGCCTCCCGCCCCCTCTTCCGCCCTCCTCCTCCTCCTCCTCCTCCCTCCCTCCCCTCGGACCCGGGCTCCGCCGCGGTGCTGGCCTGGGGGGCTCCCCGGACCCTGCATTCTCCTCCTCTCGCCCCCTGCCCCGGAGGCTCCGGAACTGGTGTGCCCCCCTCGGGTGCCCCGACGGTTCTCCCACCCACCTGTCCCTGCCACAGCCCGGGAGGGTGCTCTGCACTCGCTGTCCGTCCCCCCCGTCGAGCTTCCTGGGTGCACGGGCCCGGGACCCGGGATCCAGGCGTCCGGTGCAGAGGAGCCCAGACCGGCCGTGACCTTCTGGCTGCGCGGCCTCTGCGCGGGGTGCTGCCCTCCAGCCTTCCACCCCCATCCTCCCAGCCAGAGTCCCCGGGGCCTCCACCCCATCCTCCCAGCCAGAGTTCCCCGGGGCTCCCACCCTCCCAGCCAGAGTCCCCGGGGCCTCCATCCCATCCTCCCAGCCAGAGTCCCCGGGGCCTCCATCCCATCCTCCCAGCCAGAGTCCCCGGGGCCTCCACCCCCATCCTCCCAGCCAGAGTCACTGGGGCTCCCACCCCATCCTCCCAGCCAGAGTCTCCGGGGCTGCTACCCCCATCCTCCCAGCCAGAGTCCCCGGGCTCCCACCCCCATCCTCCCAGCCAGAGTTCCCGGGCTGCCACCCCCATCCTCCCAGCCAGAGTCCCCGGGCTGCTACCCCCATCCTCCCAGCCAGAGTCCCCGCCCCGGGCTGGCCTTGCTCTCGCTCAGCCTCTCTCCCACCCCCAGGCCACCCATCTTCACCTCCTCACGTCCATCATCTCCGGCCACTGCTCCCCATCACCAAGGCCCCCCTAGACCTCAGGCCATTCCTGTCCCCTCCCTGCACCTCAGGAGCTTCTCATCTTGCTCAGGGTCTCCCGTTGGGGAACACAGACCCCCTCGCCGCCTTCTCTCCCCTTCCCTTCCCTTCCACCCGTCTGCTGTCTCACGGTTCCTTCCGCCGGGCTCCCTCCGGCCCCCGGGCCTTGGCACGTGCTGTCCCCTCTGCTTGGAGTGCTCCCCCCGCCTGGCTATGTGGTCAGCCCGTTAGTCTCTGGTGATGGGAAAGCAGCAATACCTCCGCAGAGACTTCGCCCACCTCTCCAGCCGGGTAAGAGGCATTCGTTGGCTTATTTATGGATTCGTCCAACAGCAGAACTGGGAGCCCAACCTGAGGGGAGGCCCCCGCTTATTTTGGGGGTGTGGGTAAACACTAAGTGTGCCCAGAGAATCCTGAATCAGGTTCTGGTTGCTGGTAAAGGTGTCGGTCAGGCTCCGAGGGCGACCAGGCACAAAGGACTCAGCGAGAGACTGGTGACAGGAGGCAGATGGTGGAGGCCCAGGCCCTGGAGTTCGGGATTTTTACCCCAAATTCCCCGGGAGCAGGTTGGGGGGGGGGGGGGAATAGAACATCCACAGTTCTATTTTTTAGATCAGAGAACATCCACAGTTCTATTTTTTAGATCAGAGGGCCACCTGGTTCTAATCTATGTTAATTAAAATGTGGCTCAGCATTGCAACTCAATATAGGAAAACAACCCGGATTTCAAAAGGGGCCGAAGATTGGAACAATTCAACAAAGGTGTACGAACATCTAATAGACGCATGTGTGAACAGCTGCTCAGAAATGCAAACGAAAGGCACAGTGAGGTATGCTGTACAAAATGGCTTAAGGAAAAGGGATGCTACTGGTTAAGTGCTGGTGAGGATGTCTAGCAGATGGGACTTCCATGCACAGCAGATAAAAAGGTTAGACGGGCCCAGCTGGCATGGTTCAGTGGTGGAGCGTCAACCTAGGAATCAGGAGGCCGGGGTTCGAGTCCCAGTCAGGGCACGTGCTTGGGTTGTGGGCTTGATCTCCAGGAGGGGACATGCAGGAGGCAGCCGATCAATGATGCTCTCTCATCGTTGATGTTTCTATCTCTCCCTTTCCTTTCCTCTCTGAAATCAATACAATATATATATATATATATATATATATATATATATATATATATATATATATATATAAAAGTTAAACAGTCCTGCCCGGTGTGGCTCAGTTGGTTGGGCATCATCCCGTACACGGAAAATCTGTGGGTTCCATTACCCAGTCAGGGCATGTACCTAGGTTTTGAGTTCCATCCCTGTTTGGGGCGAAACAACCAATGTTTTTCTTCCCTCCATCCCCTCCCGTCTTCTCTCCCTTCTCCTCTTTCTGAAATCAATAAACATATCCTCAGGTGAGTTAAAAAAAAAAATAGTTAAGTAGAGATCTAGCTATTTTACTTGTAGGTATTTACCCAAGAGAGATGAAGGCACGGGTTTATACAGAGGCTTGTATATGAATGTCCACAGTTCTATTTTTTAAAAAAATATATTTTATTGACATTTTACAGAGAGGAAGGGAGAGGGATAGAGAGTTAGAAACATCAATGTTGGTGAGAGAGAAACATCAATCAGCTGCCTCCTACACACTCCCCACTGGGCACGTGTCCACAATCAAGGTACATGCCCTTGACTGGAATCAAACCCGGGACCCTTGAGTCCGCAGGCCTACCCTCTATCCACTGAGCCACACCGGTCAGGGCTATAGCTCTATTTGTAATAGCTTAATGTGGAAACCACCCATTGGTTCATCAGCAGGGGAAAGGATACAGTAACCATGGGACATCCCTTCCAGGAAAAGCATCTCGGCAATAAGAAGGAATAAATAATTTTAAGTGCGACGATATGGTTGCATCCAGCAGACACGTTGTTGAATGAAAGGAGCCACAATCAAACCAGTACATGCTGTATGATTCCACGTTTATGAAGTTCTAGAAATTCGTGAAGCTAAGCTGTGGGGTCAGAAGTCAGATCCGTGCCAGGGGTCGGGGCGTGAGGAAACTTTTTGCGTGCTGGAAATGTATTTTACTTTGACAGGAGTGGTGGCTACTCGGGGACATGCATTTCTCAAAACGCATCAAACAGTACCTTTAACACGGGTGCATTTTATTTTATGTAATTTACATCTCCATGCACGGAGAGGGCACCAAAGACAAAATAACGGTGTCAGCCCCGAGTGACTGAGAGGGCCCAGGGAGAGGGCAAGGAGAACCTGCTGGGTGCCCTTGCTCGAGGTGGCTGGAGACCCCGGACCCCTGTCCCTCTCACCCCAGGCTGTGGGCTCCCTGGGGACCAGCCCCAGCCCAGAGGATGGCACCATGAAATATCCGCTGTGGAACGGAGGAGGATGGCTCTCTTCCTGTCACGTTCCTCGTGGAAGGAATATTTGCCCTTCTCCTCCGCTGGTTTATTTATTTTATTCTTTTGGATGACAATGAGCCACTTACTCTAAGACTTCATTTGACTGGCTGTTGTTCCATCTTAGGCCAGTAGGTGGGCTCATGTGCACCTAACATGCGCACTCCCCTCCCCCCTCTTATTTTCATTTCCTTATTTTCTGCCACTGTGAGATGCCGCAGGTTCATTTTGTTCTCCCCATCCGAGGCCTGGAATCTGGATTCTCCAAGAAGCCCTTTATCGGAGAATGGTATTCAGAAACCCAGGTCTTCCTGGGCAGTTTTTTTTTTTGCATTTCTCTCGTTCTGAGTGGCACAAGCACTTTGGATTTTTACGCCTGTGAGGACCATTTGCATGTCCCTTTCTGAGAACTGACTTCTCACACACAGAACAACACCCTTGCCAGGAAATTAGTCCTTTTTCTAAAATGCGAGTTACGAATGTTTTTTGCTGCTTCGTCATTTATCTTTCACCTTGCGTTTTTGCCATACAGATTTTTTTTTTTTCTTTTAGAACTTGCCGTTTTCTCCTTTAATCTATAAAAGTCGAGAATGACCGTAGCAGTTTCCCTAATGCTCACCATCCTTACATTTGTGGGATGTGCCTTTTGCTAAATCTCTGGGTTCATTTAGGTAATATTTTTATTTGGGATGTTTGCCTTTGTTTTCACAAATAGAATGGACTTGCAGGGTTTGTGTGTGTGTGTGTGTGTGTGTGTGTGTGTGTGTGTGTGTGTTTAATTTTACTATTTGTGCTATCCTTTATGTAAGTCTTTCTTGTTTCCTAGTGAAGATACTTAAAGTTATATATTTTTCTCTGAGGACCAGTTCAGACACATGCCAAAAATATTGCTCTAGTTTTTACCCATTTCTAAATAGTTTGTAGTTTCAGTTTTATTTTTAAAAATATATTTTTATTTATTTCAGAGAGGAGGGGAGAGGGAGAGGGAGAGAGAAACATCAGTGATGAGAGGGAATCATTGATTGGCTGCCCACTGCACACCCCACCCTGGGGAGGCATCCCACAACCCCAGGCCAGGAATTGAACCCTGACCTCCTGGTTCACAGCCCAATGCTCAACCACTGAGCTGTGCCCACTGGGCTTAGTTTCTGTTTTAATTTCCTCTTTAATCTACAGTCTGTCTTCTCTCCGGCTGGAATTCCAAGTAATTAGGCCTTTTGGTACTGTCTCTAAAGTCCTTGAGGCTCTGTTCATTTCTTTAATCTTTTTATTCTCTTTTGTTGAGATCAGCTCATTTCTACTGATTTGTCATCAAGTTCACTCTTTCCTCTGTCCTCTCCATTCTGCTTCTAAGCCCATTCAGTGAGGGTTTTTTTTAGTTTTTTTTTTTTTTTTTTTTTTTTAGAAATTTGGTTATTGTATTCAATTTTAAAATTTCAGTTTATTTTTATATTTTCTCTTTCTCCACTGAGACTTTCTATCTTTCCATGTGTTTTATTTATTCTTTAAAATTTATTCTTAGAACACGCTTATATTTTCTTTAAAGTCCTTCTCTGATATTGTGTCATTCTTTTTTTGTTTGTTTCTTCATTTATGTCATTCTTGAGGTTGTTCGCTATCTTTTCTCTCATAAGATGTTGAGATTTTTTTTCTAGTCCTTCATATGTCAAATAATTATTGATTGTATAATAGACATTTTGGACATTAAGGTGTTTTTCTTTATTGATTAAGGTGTTATGTATGTTCTTGTCCCCCCCAGTTCCCTCCCCACCCCAGTTCTTGCCTCACCCCCCTAGTGTCTGTGTCCATTGGTTAGGCTTATATGCATGCATTCAAGTTTTTTGGTTGATCTCTCCTCCTTCCCCCACCCTCCCCTGCCTTCCCTCAGGTTTGATGGTCTGATCGATGCTTCTCTGTCTCTGGATCTGTGTTTGTTCATCAGTTTATGTGGTTCATTATATTCCATAAATGAGTGAGATCATGTGATATTTGTCTTCCTCTGACTGAGATATTTCGTTTAGCATAGTGCTCCCCAGGCCCATCCATGATGTGGCAAATGGTAGGGGTTCCTACCTTTTTACAGCAGCGCAGTATTCCATTGTGTAGATGTACCACCATTTTTTAACCCACTCATCTGCTGATGGGCACTTAAGCTGTTTTCAAATCTTAGCTATGGTAAATTGTGCTGTTGTGAACATAGGGGTGCGTATACCCTTTCTGATGGGTGTTTCTAGTTTCATGGGATATATTCCTAGGAGTGGAATCACTGGGTCAAATGGGAGTTCCATTTTCAGTTTTTTGAGGAAACTCCATACTGTTCTCCACAGTGGCTGCACCAGTCTGCATTCCCGCCAGCAGGCACGAGGGTTCCTTTTTCTCCGCATCCTCGCAGGCACTTGTCGTTTGTTGATTTGTTGATGACAGCTATTCTGACTGATGCGAGATGGTCATTTTGATTTGCATCTCTCAGATGATTAGTAACTGTGAGCATGTTTTCATTTGTCTTGGCCTTCTGTATGTCCTCTTTCAAAAGGGTCTATTTAGGTCCATTGCCCATTTTTTTTTTATTGGGTTTTGTTTATGTTCCTTTTGTTAAGTTTATGAGTTTCCTATAAATGTTGGAGATTAAACTGTTATTGGAGATAACATTGGCAAATACTGAACATTATGTTTTGAATTCTGGGTTTGCTTAACTTTTATAAAGATTTGTTGTTAAAGTAGACAGTCAATCTGGTTAGATTCAGGCCTACCCACCATTGGCCTGTGGTTCCAATGTCTGGTCAGTTTAGAGGCTGGTGCTCTATCCATTGAACCAAACTGGCTAGGGCCTAATTCTTGAAACGTTTGGTGGAATTCACCAGTATAGTCATCTGGTCTTGGACTTTTATTTGTTGGGAAGTGTTTTTGGCTGCTAATTTAATCTCTTCTTTCTTTCTTTCTTTTTTTTTTTTTTAAGTTTTTATTTATATCAGAGAGGAAGGGAGAGGGAGAGAGAGAAACATCAGGGATGAGAGAGAATCATGAATTGGCTGCCTCCAGCATGTCCCCCACCCCGGGGATTGAGCCCATAACCTGGGCATGTGCCCTTGACGGAAATCAAACCAGGGACCCTTCAGTCAGTAGGCCGACACTCTATCCACTGAGCAACACCAGCCAGGGCTAATTTAATCTCTTCACTTGTTGAAGGTGTGTTGAGATTTTTTTTTTCCTTCTGTGAGTTTAGGTAATTATGTATTACTAGGAATTTTTCCATCTCATCTAACTTGTTGGCATATAATTAAATTATTCATAGGATTATCTTATAATCCTTTTTCTGTATGGTCAGTAGTAACTTGCTTTCATTTCTGATTTTAGTTGTGTTCTTTTTTTTTCTTTGTCATTATCTAAAGGTTGTTCATTTTGTTGATATTTTCTTTTCTTTTTTTATATTTTTTATTGATTTTTTACAGAGAGCTAGAAACGTCGATGAGAGAGGAACAACGACCAGCTGCCTCTTGCACACCCCCACTGGGGATGTGCCCGCAACCAAAGTACATGCCCTTGACCGGAATCGAACCCGGGACCTTTCAGTCCGCAGACCGACGCTCTACCACTGAGCCAAACCGGGTTCGGCCATTTTGTTGATATTTTCAAAGAGTTTATCTTTGGTTTTGTTGATTCTATTCCCCCCCCCCTTATTCTTCCTTTTACTTATCTCTGGTTTGTTGTTTCCTCTTTTTCTCCCCTTAGCTTTGGGTTTAGTTTGCTCTTTTTTTTTCTTCTTCTTCTAGTTCCTCAATGTTACAGGGGTGAGAGGAATGGGTGAGAGGAGTTTAACAAGGTCCACCCTTTTCTGCTGGATTCTGGGCACAGCCATATTTACCTTACACTTTTAGGTACAATTTACATACAACGGAAGGCACAGATCTTACGTATGCAGTCAGAGGTTTGACAGATGTGTTCACCTGTGTAACCAGTTCCCCAAACAAAGGTATCACACTGTCTCACGCCCCACAAAGTCCCCTCATGGCTCCTTTGTCATCAATCCCCATTCTCCACCTCCTGAGGTAACCACTGTTTCCATTTCTTTCACTGTATTTCCCCCTGTCCTTGAACTTCAAAATAGAATCGGGTGTTCTCCTTTGTATTTAAAAATATGTTGACTTCAGAGAGGAAGGAAGTGGGAGGGAAGGAGGGAGGGAGGGAAACATCCATGATGAGAATCATTGACTCCTGCACCCTCCTGCAGGGGATCAAACCTGCAATCTGGGCCTGTGCCCTGGCCTGGAATCAAACTAGTCACCTCTTGGTTCATGGGTTGAGGCTCAACCACTCACTGAGCCACACCGGCGGTGTGCCTTCCTTTTGGGTCCGGGTTCTTTCACTCAGTACTGGGTGAGACTCATCGTGATCTTTCACTTTTATTGCCCTTCTCCCTCACGTGTCAGTAGCTTGTTTGCTGTTGCTGGGGAGTATCATATGGTGTGAACGTAGCACAGTGTATGTACCTCCTTTGAAACATGTGGGCTTTTATTTTTTAGCTTTTAGGCTCGTATAACATTCTAGTATATCAGTCCTCTTGGCTAAATATCTGGGGTGGAGGGGGGAGAGAGAGTGGCGGGGATGTAATTCTGGGCCATTCGGCAGGGGAGTGTATAATACATGTTTTAGCTTTTCTCTAGGATGTGAATCCCTGCAGGCCCGCCTTCTTTTGGTAGGGTTGCCTTTCCTTACCTGGCCAGCAGGGGGCGGTGTGAGGGCTACAGAGGTGCACTTGAAGGGTAGAGACCAGCTCTTCCTGCTTCGCCCGGGACCTGCTCCAGTTGCCCATCTTTCCCACCCACTTGACAGGCAGCCACCTCCACCCTCCACCCTCCACCCTCCACCCTCCACCTTCCACCCTCCTCCTCCTCCTCCTCCTCCTCCTCCTCCTCCTCCTCCTCCTCCTCCTCCTCCTCCTCCTCCTCCTCCTCTTCCGCCGCAGCAGCCAACTGTGCCATCTCCTCCCACTGGGAGGCGCACCCCGAGTCTCCCCATGGCACTTGGGACAGAGGCAGCCAAGGCCCCGCTGCCTCTCCCGCCTCCTTCTCATGTGGTTCCTGGCCGAGCTCATGCCCCCTCCACCCGCGCCCTCCTCCCAGCTCCTCATGCCTCAATTTGGGACCTCACTTTTCTTCCATGAGGATGACTCTTTTCCTGCCACATTGCCAACTGGCTGCCCTGTCTGGTGAGAGTGAGGCCCTGACCCTGGCGGTGGTGGTGGTGGTGATGGTGGTGGTGTGTGTGTGTGTGTGTGTGGGGGGGGGGGACAGAGGGGCTGTATATGGGAGCCGTGGCTCTGGGCTTAGGCTCGGGTCTTTACCGGTCAGAGATGCAGCAGGTCCCATGGACCGCTGGCCAGCTCCATAGCAACCAGCCCCCGAGTCGCCCCTGAGCCCATCCTGCGTGGCCCGCTCCAGCCTGACTCCGGCTCAGAGGCCCTGAGCCCTGAGAGGGTGCCACCACCCCTGTCGCCCTCCTCCTCCCATCGGTGCTTCAAATGAGGACCAATGCCAAACTGTGAAGAGTCAGGAAGGCCAGCAATCTTATTTCTCTCCTAGTAACTATCTGGATGCTTTAAAAAGTATATATATATCAGCCCTAGCTGGTTTGGCTCAGTGAATTGAGCCTTGATCTGCAGAGTAAAGGGTCCCAGGCTCGATTCCCGTCAAGGGCACGTGCCCAGGTTGGGGGCTAGATCCCCAGTGGGGAGCATGCAGGAGGCAGCCAATCCATGATTCTGTCTCATCTTCGATATTTCTCTCTCTCTCTCTCTCTCTCTCTCTCTCTCTCTCTCTCTCTCTCTCTCTCAAATAAATAAGAGTGGGTAAATAAAAAATAACGTGGGAAAGAAATGCATCCTTTTGTTCCCACCCTCTCTTTTCTCTGTGGCCCCTTTGGCTGGTCAGCGCGGACAGCCAGTGTCACCCACAGGCTGTCCCCCCCCCCTCCCCCACTCACCGCACCAGAACGTTCGGTAACTTGGGCTGCGTGAACAGAAGAAAAAATCCATTTAGAGAGAATTCCTTTTCCGAGCACAGGTGGTTATTTAAGTGGAAAAGAGAATCACGGAGCGAGAAGACAAGGAAGACAGTGGGACTCGGCTTCGCTGTAAAACGCACGGCCACTGCCGGCTTCCCCTCCGGTCATTTCTTGCCCGCCTTCGCTGCCTTCCCCTTCTTTTCCTCCTTTGGCTTTGGCCCTCCCTTTGCCTTTTCAGTTTCGGCCAGTTTTGGAGGAGGAACCAGCACATTCCTTTTGACCTTCTTGCCTCTGAAGTGTTTTCTTTGGAGGCATATATCGATTATAGGGAAAAAGGCAGCCACCGCAATAAGGGCCTAGAAAACAAAGGAGCCTTTGGTGACTTTTGCTTTTTTCCCCCGAAGTTGGCCTATTTCCTTCCTGGTTTCTTTTCTTTTTTGTAAAAAAAAAAAAAAAAAAAAAAAAAAAAAGTATTTTTTTATTGACTTCAGAGAGAGGAAGGGAGAGAGAGAGAGAAAGAGAGAGAGAGAGAGAGAGCGCGCAAGAGAATGATAGAAACATCAATGAGGAGAGAGAATCATTGATTGGCTGCTTTCTGCATGCTCCCTTACTGGGGATCAAGCCCAAAACCTGGGCACGTGCCCTGGCCACGAATTGAACCTTCCGCTTCATAGGTCACCGCTCACCCACCAAGGCACGCGGGCTGGGCTCCTTCCTGGTTTCTAAGAGGAAGCAGGTCCCCTTCAATGGCCAGACGCCATAGACCGAGCCCTCCCCTCCCCAGTGCCCGGTCACCCTCTGCTTCTTTATCTCTTTACACCCAGCCTGGGGGTAGGGTGGGAGCTGTGGCCTCTGGGTCAGCAGCTACGAGGAGGAAGCCAGCAACCTGGGTGGCTCTCTAGACATCAAATTTATTTCAGTGGCTTCTCCACTGGGAACACTTATCAGCTTTGCTTTCAAACTTTGCTCAGAAACGCAAGACTCTGTGAAAAGCAATTATGTGGCCTTCAAACAGGGGGGTGGGGGGTGGTGGTGGTGAAACACCTGTCCTCCAAAAAAAGAGGTGATTTCTAAGCAAATAAACAGCCCCACAAGGGAGACTCACCACAGAAACTACGTAGTTGACTGGCATGGTTTCGCGAGTTAGTACGGCGTAGATGGCAGTGCCGACCAGGAAAGCAGTGGCGCATAGGTCATTGATTATGTCCTGGAAGCATGGGAGAGAGGAGTGTCAGTCAGCCTGGGGCCGAGCACTAGGCCCCAGGGACAGCCCACCTGGCAGAGCTCCCTAGAAGGAACAAGTTTCAAACTTCTGCCTAATGAAACAATATATAAACATTTTATGTATATTAGCTAATAACAGGTCTACACTAATAAAAGAGTAAGATGCAAATTGACCGCACCCTCACAACGCTCACCACCCAATCAGGAGTGAGTATTCAAATAATCGACCCAACAAAGATGGCGGGTTTAATTTGCACATGCAGGCACCAAGCAGCTGGGGTGGGCGGGCGGGGCAGGATATTTGAGTTGGCGCCACTGATGATGCAGGCGTTCTGCTCCGCCCCAGCCACTCAGGGCCTCTGGACAGCGTGGGAAGGTGGAGAGGCGGCTCCGCGCCAGTGGCCGGGGGAAGGAAGGTGCATTTTTGCATGAATCTTCATGCATCAGGCCTCTAGTGTGTGTGTGTGTGTGTGTGTGTGTGTGTGTATATATATATATATATATATATATATATATATATATATATATATATGGCTAAGTGAACATACCTATGGCCCCTCAGCTGGGTTCTTTGAGTCAAGACCCCAAAGCCCAGGATCTTTTATTTTTTAAACTTTAAAAATTTTTTTATTGACTTCAGAGAGGAAGGAAGAGGGAAAGAGAGAAAGAGAGACATCAATGATGAGAGCGAATCATTGATTGGCTGCCTCTTGCACATCCCACACTGGGGATGGAGCCCACAGCTGGGTAGGTGCCCTAACCGGGAATCGAACCATGACCTGCTGGTTCATAGGTCGACACTCAACCACCGAGCCACACTGGCTGGGCTGACCGGATTTAATCTTAATCACTAGTCTACCGGGCCCCATCTCCAATTGTAGTCACACTGGGGGTTCGGATATCAGTGTATGGAAGTTGGGGGTATGCACGCATTCACTCCATAACAATTCCATCATCTCAATTCTGAGCTAGTGCTCAAGTTTTATAGCAATTCAGGTTATCTCATTGGGCACGCCCATCCTTGTCATTCTTTTCATTCTTCCATAAGACTTTTCGCATCATCTTGTAAAGTTCCATGAACCACTTCTTGTTTGGGTGGACTCTCCTTTAATTGATAGATGACTTTGGAAGTAAATTGCCATCTTTATGATAGCAGCTCTTTGCATCTGTGAATGTGTGTGGTGTATTTCTCCGTGTTTTTAGGATTCTCCTTTGTGTCCATGAATGAGATGTTATCATCGCTTACATAAAGCCAAACGCCTCTTTGAGCGGTCTTATTCTCAGACACCTCGTCGTCTGTTGTTCAAAATGTTTGTTTTCTCGGTGTGTGTTGCTGGTAGCCAGGAACACTCTTGTGTTTGTCTCTGGCAAAACCTCCAGGACCTCAGATCAGTTCTAGTAATTTGACTAGTAGATCCTCTTGGATTTTCTGTGTAGAGAATCACATGACGTATGAGTAATGCGAGGTTCCACCTCTCCCTCCCCAATCCGTATACCTTTGTTTTTCTTGTCCCATTGTGCTGATTCAGATCTCCAGCAGAATGCTGACTAGAAACGGGGACAGTAGTCAGCTCTCAGGATATGCTTTTCAAGTTTTGCCATGAAAGGAAATGTTTATGGTAGGTTTGGGTAGATGCCTATTATTAAAATAAGGACGTTCCCTATCCCTACCCCCACCCTAGTTTGCTAAGAGATTTCTAAAAATAAGTATTGAATACGACTAAATAGTTTTCCAGCAGCTTAGGAGATGGTGAAACAGTTTTCTCCTTTAAATGAAAGATGGCGAGATATATTAGTAGAAGTTTGACAACGAAGCCATCTTTACATTCCTGGCTCACACCCTGGTTGGTCATGAGGTATTGCTTGCTTATACTAGTATGTTACCGGATTCAGTTTGCTAATATTTTATTGAGGATTTTATGGCTACATTAAAATAAGATAGGCCTATAGCTGACTGACCTTATACTGTCTGGTTTTTAAGATAAAATTCCCACCAGGTAGTACAACATATTATGAAGCTTTTAGATAAAAGGGAGAGAGAAAGGGACAGATGGAATATAAAGTCCAGAAATGAATACTATATGGAATTTAGTATTTTAACAAAAACGCCATTTCCAGTCAGTGCAGGAAACATGTACTATTCAGTGAATGGATAAATCAAATGATAAGACAGCCATCAGGGTTTAAAGCTAGAGCCATGATTCACACCAGAGAGTAAAATGGCTCCAGATGAATCAAAAGGTTTAAATAGAAACAATTTAAACAAGAGCCAGATGAAAAGATGGATGAATTATTTTATAATCTATTTTTCCATTTCTTTTTGTAAGTTAGATTTTCCCCCCCAGGAAATTAACTGTAAACTTTCCAATTTGTTGGCATGGAAGTTTTTGTAATGTACAAAATTTATATATATATACACAATATATAATTTCCTTGGGTTTACAGTACTTAAATTTATAACACTCTAGTTTGAATTGATACCAACTTAGTTTCAATAGCACGCAAAAATTCTTTTTGTTGTTGTTGTCTTCACAAATCATATCTTTATACATTGTGACCCATTAATGTTTTTTGCACTCATATTTTAAATTATATCAGAAAAGAGGAGTTACAAATAAAAATATAATAATATTGGCTTTTATAGTTGCCTATATAGTAATCTATATTGGTGGCCTTTCTTTCTTTTGTGGCTTCAAGTTACTATGCAGTGTCCTCTCATTTTGGCCTGAAGGATTCCCTTTATATATATATTTTTAAGGGCATGTCTATTAATAAATTCCTACACCTTTTATGTGGGAATTTCTTAAGTTCTCCTTCATTAAAAAAAAAAAAAAAATCTATTATTCAGATTATTACAGGTGTCCTTCCTCATAGCTCCCCTCCACCTGATTCCCCACCCCACACCATGCCCTTACCCCTGCCACTGTCTTCATCCATAGGTGTAAGATTTTTGTCCAATCTCTTCCCGCACCTCTCAGACCCCCTTCCTCCTGAGAATTATCAGTCCACTCCCTTTCTATGTCCCTGATTCTATTATATTCACCAGTCTATTCTGTTCTTCAGTTTTTTTATTCATTGATTTTTAAAAATTTTTATTCATTGATTTAAAAAAATACATTTTATTGATTTTTTACAGAGAGGAGGAGAGAGGGATAGAGAGCTAGAAACATCGATGAGAGAGAAACATCGACCAGCTGCCTCTTGCACACCCCCTACCGGGGATGTGCCCGCAACCAACATACATGCCCTTGACCGGAATAGAAACTGGGACCTTTCAGTCCGCAGACCAACACTCTGCCACTGAGCCAAACCAGTTTCGACTATTCACTTGATTTTTAGATTCATTTGTTGGTAGGTATATATTTGATGTCTTTTTGTTGTTCATAATTTTTACCTTTACCTTTTTCTTCTTCTTCCTTTTTTTTTTTTTTTAATTGATTTTTTACAGAGAGGAAGGGAGAGAGATAGAGAGCTAGAAACGTCGATGAGAGAGAAACATCGACCAGCTGCCTCTTGCACACCCCCTACTGGGGATGTGCCCGCAACCAATGTGCATGCCCTTGACTGGAATCGTACCTGGGACCTTTCATTCTGCAGACTGATGCTCTACCACTGAGCCAAACCGGTTTCGGCTTCTTCCTCTTTTTAAAGAATACCCTTCAGCATGTCATGTAATCCTGGTTTGGTGGTGATGAACTCCTTTAGTTTTTCCTTATCTGTGAAGCTCTTTATCTGACCTTCAATTTGGAATGATAGCTTTGCTGGGTAGAGTAATCTTGGTTGTCGGTTCTTGCCGTTCATCACTTTGAATATTTCTTGCCACTCCCATCTGGCCTGCATAGTTTCTGTTGAGAAATCAGCTGACAGTCCTATGGGTACTCCCTTGTAGGTAACTAACTGATTTTCTCTTGCTGCTTTCAAGATTCTCTCTTTATCTTTTGCCCTTGGCATTTTAATTATAATGTGCCTTGGTGTGGTCCTCTTTGGATTCCTCTTGTTTGGGGTTCTATGCACTTCCTGAACTTGTAAGTCTATTTCTTTTACTTAGGTAGGGAAAGTTTTCTGTCATTATTTCTTCTAATAGGTTTTCAATATTTTGCTCTCTCTCTTCTTTTGGCACCCCCAAAACTTGGATGTTGGTATGCTTAAAGTTGTCCCAGAGACTCCTTACACTATCTTCATATTTTTGGAGTCTTTTTTCTTTCTTTCTTTAAAAAAAAAAAAAAAAATATATATATATATATATATATATATATATATATATATATATATATATATATATATTTTATTGATTTTTTACAGAGAGGAAGGGAGAAGGATAGAGAGCTAGAAACAACAATATTGGTGAGAAACATCGATGAGCTGCCTCCTACACACCCCTCACCGGGGATGTGCCCACACCAATGTACATGCCCTTGACCAGAATCGAACCAGGGACCTTTCAGTCCGCAGGCCGATTCTCTATCCACTGAGCCAAACTGGTTTTGGCGGATTCTTTTTTCTTTTTGTTTTTCTGGTTGGGTGTTTTTTGTTTCCTCGCATTTCAGATCTTTGGCTTGATTCTTGGGGTACGTTGATCTACAGTTGAGTTTCTATATATTCTTTATTTCAGACAGTGTATCTTAATTTCTGACTGGTCCTTTTCCATTTTTTTTTTTTTTTGGACTTCTCATTAAGGTCCTAGAATGTCTCACTAAGCTCATCGGAGGTCCCATCAAATTTCTCAGCGGTTTTTAGAAGATTCTTGAGTAACCTTATAAATGTGGTTTTGAACTCTATGTTGTCCAGTAGTTTGCTTTCCTCACTTTCTTTCATTCGTGACATGTTTCTTTGCCTCTGCATTTTGGCTGCTTCCTTGTGTTGATGGAGTGGCTTTGTGTGGTAGGGGACATATAGGGGCCAGTAGCTCAGCCTCCCCAATCACCTGAGGTGGACATTCTTGGTACATCCCTTTGTGGGCTGAGTGCAAAGTCTTGGTGTAGT